GTGTGATCATCACGGTTAGAAAAGGTGATGGTCAGGGGTAGTGTTAACATTTACAAGTGGTTGGGGATGGAAAGGCAAGAGAAGAACTGATGATGAAACAAGAATCATGGAAAATGAGAAATGTCATTTGATGGGCAGTGAAAACAAAATATGACCTTTTGCTCATAAATTAAATGTTTGCATCTGCTTCCTATGCACCTGCTTGTAATCCTCCCTAAGGGTTTAATGGATAAATGCTTTAAAGTAGTTAAGTGATTCAATATCCTAAGTCCTATTGATTTTCAGTGGTATTTAGGTTGGTAAATCACTTACTTAATCTCCTTTAAAAATGCAACCTTTTATCATTACGTGGGACAGAATAATCTGAATCAGGTCTCAGATTAAATACTAAGACTTTCTAAACACAGACTCTTCAGATACAGGAAACTTATCAGATTTTTTAGCTTTTATATTCACTTTTTTCTGAGACTATTAGCTCTGAATCTCTCTCTGTACATTTGCAAAAGAGAACAGGGGACTGAAACAGTAATACTCCTGCCTTTGCGCACTTTCTCCCTCTCTCATGGGCTTCAGTTACAGAATATACTTCAAATGCAGATATACAGAGCTCAGGGAGCCTGCTCTGCTTATGTCAGCATGGCTGTAGCACTAACTCGGGGATGGAAAAACCAATGGTGTAACTCGGGGATGGAAAACGCAATGGTGGGGTGTTTTCTTTTGCCAGATCATAGCTGTGTGTCTCTAAATTTTCTTATTTGAAATCACAGTCTCTTCCTAGCAGAAAGCAGCACGTAGAAAGCATTATTTTGAGTAGTTTGATACTGCATGTAATGTATTTTTTTGAGACATCTTGGTCCTGAGGGATTTAGATTTGGGGTTCCTGCTTTGTAAATCGCAGATGGTTCAGGAGAGCCAGAAAGCTTCAGTGTTGGAGTTTGTCAGCACGTCCCTCGGGCATGGTGTTAAGAAATTTCTACACACCTGAGAACATCATGTTGGGGAAGATTTCGGGATCCTATACAGGTGCCAATGATGAAATAAATGAAAACTTTTAGCAATTTTTTTGCTGGTAGGTTAGCTATGATGGAGAACTTCACAAGCACCCACAACTGGAAGCTGATTTAACAGCAGTGAGAGAGATCTATGGACCTAATGCAGTATCTCTCAGGTATGTCATTTTACACTTCATATTGTGGAGCCTTTAACATTTTGGAGATGGAGCTCCATGTAGAACATGCCTCACCACCAAAACAAAAGTCATTTCTGAAGCAATGATTTCTACATATTATAGGAACGCTGTTAGCTAGTAGTAATGCTGGGTTTGCTTTCATTTTGTGGTTGAATACTAATATGATTGGCTATGTGGAGAACTGGTCCTGGAAGCCTGTTCTAAAACATATTTTTCTTTTGCAGTTCAATAGATATTTGATCAGGCTGTTGTATTCTGATGAAAATTACTATTCAGCATAACACTAAATCCTTGTTAAATTGCTTCTGTTCTGTCATATTACATCTGTTGCCCAGAAGGTGAACAAGAGGGATGATAAGAGACTTAGAAATTGTTGTCACTGAGGAAATACTAAAGGAATTGGATTTGTCTAGTCTGGAAAAAAAAAAAAGACAGAGGAAGAGGACATAACAGTCCTTCGAGAAAAAAAGAAAAGGGCTATGCATGGGTAGGATCAGTGATCAATTGTTCTGCATTGTCATCGTGAGAGTGACAATAAGAAACTAACTTTGTAAAAAGAATTAGGTTGTATGTTAGGAATGTTTTCTTATTGTAAGTTGGTGGAACTCTAGAGAAGTCTATGCATGGAGCTTGTGGAACCTCCTTCCAAGGTGGATGGTCAAAAGAAATTACAAAATTTCTGTGCAACATATACAAGTATGTATAGCTGTAGGATATCTTATAGTCTCTTATAGTCTTTTATGACTTAATTTTCCATATATGTAGTTGTAATAATTTTGTAAAAATAACATGTAGATGAGACATAAACAGACCTGCCAAAAGTATTACAAAGAAAATATCAAAATTTTCATACAAAACAAGTAATATAGAGACAAGCCTGTAGCTAGCGGGGTCCCCCAGGGGTCAGTCCTTGGTCCAGTCCTGTTCAATTTATTCATCAATGACCTGGATGAAGGCACAGAGTGCTCCCTCAGCAAGTTTGCTGATGATACCAAACTGGGAGGAGTAGCCGATACCCCAGAGGGCTGTGCTGCCATCCAGAGGGACCTGGACAGACTGGACAACTGGGCGGTGAAAAACCTCATGCAATTCAACAAGGCCAAGTGCAAGGTCCTGCACCTGGGGAGGAATAACCCCAGACACCAGTACAGGCTGGGGACCGAGCTTGTGGAGAGCAGCTCTGCGGAGAAAGACCTGGGTGTCATGGTGGATGATAAGTTGACCATGAGGCAGCAGTGTGCCCTCGTGGCCAAGAAGGCCAATGGGATCCTGGGCTGCATTAAGAAGAGCATCTCTAGCAGGTCGAGGGAGGTGATCCTGCCCCTCTACTCAGCCCTGGTGAGGCCGCATCTGGAGTACTGTGTCCAGTTCTGGGCTCCACAGTACAAGAGGGATGTGGAGCTGCTGGAGAGAGTCCAGCGCAGGGCCACAAGGATGATCAGGGGCCTGGAACATCTGCCCTATGAGGAGAGGCTGAGGGAGCTGGGCCTGTTCAGCCTAGGGAAGAGAAGGCTGAGAGGGGATCTAATCAGTGTCTATAAGTACCTCAAGGGAGGGAGTGCAGAGGACGGTGCTGGTCTCTTTTCAGTGGTGGCCACTGGTAGGACTAGAGGAAATGGCCGGAAACTGAAACACCAAAAATTCCATAGGAACCTGAGGAAAAATTTCTTAACAGTGAGGGTGACAGAGCCCTGGAACAGGCTGCCCAGAGAGGTTGTGGAGTCTCCTTCTCTGGAGATCTTCAAAACCCGCTTGGATGCAGTCCTGTGCCACGTGCTCTAGGTGTCCCTGCGTATGCAGGGGGGTTGGACTAGATGATCTCTAGAGGTCCCTTCCAACCCTAAGCATTCTATGATTCTATGATTCTATGATTCCCATTATCCTCCAAATAGTAGTCTTTACGATTTTAGTGTAAGAAAAGAGAGCTTATCTACAACTATGGTATACTGCATCTTTTAAAATTAACTGAGAATTCATTTGGTTTAGAGGATCTGGGGAATTAAATCCAAATAGTTTGTACATGAGTTTAAGAAATTACTGAGATAAACAGTTACTTGCCAAACTGATAACTATGAAACTGTACGTACCTTGATAATAAGGTCCCTTAGGCTCTCAAAACAGCAACACTTTATGTAACCTTTTAAAAACTTTAATACATCCAATTTATTGAATAAGCTGTTTCAATGTAAGCTTTGTGATATCTTTGGGCTCAGTGTATTAGAAATTGGCAGCTGCGTCTGCTTCTGGCACGTGGAAAACTTACAGACTTCTTGTACTCTCCAGTAGTTGAAATAGTCATAAATTCTTGGAAACCACAAAAACAACTTTTAGCATTCAGTTTCACCTCTCTCCTCAAGCTGTAGGTCTCTGACTGTAACAAGTCTATCTGACAGTGACACCCACTAAGCATGTGTGTTTCTACTGGTGAGTAGTGCAGAGACACTGAGCTTTGATAGAAGAGGTTCCTTTCCCAAAGCTGTGCCAGGTCGAGGCCCACATACACTTGGACTTAGTTGTTGGGAACTGGTCATTTCCAGTGTAAACTGGGTCTTGCCACCAGCTGAAAGGCCAGTTTGTTTAAAGATAGGTATATTCACAGAAATATTTTCCTATGTCAAAATTTCCTTGTTGGCTTCATTTAGGCCCAATTGCTGCTGTGCTGTATTCATCTAGCTTAGATAAAAACCATGGAAGTCATGAAAAAAAGCTTAGAAACACAGTGTAAAAAGCAAAAAAAAAATGTCTAGAAGAGTATCAGCTAATCTGTGAAAAACTGAGTGACTGTACATCTACAGAATTGCTTAGCTAAGCAATTTAAATAAAAAAGAAAGCAGTTTGGGGGTTAGGTGTATGAACAAGTATTTTCTAGCCCTATGTTTTCAGAAGTATTCACATATACTGGGTGAAGCCAAGGGAATGAGTCAGAAAACAAACAAAACAGTCACACCTCAAAAATTCAGAGGGCAATGAAACACCTATGCTATGTTGTATTTCTCTTTAATGATTTATCTCAAGCCTCTTATAAAATGTTGCAGTTTGAAAGCTGTAGTGGTGGGAGAGAGAAGGAGATACCAAATACTGTGTTAGCTATACACTGAGTAGAGTCATACTTATTGATTGGTGAAAAAGTTTCTCGCTTTCATTTAAAGGTACAGTCAATTGAAAATCGGGCCCCCCCAGCCACAGGGAGTGCAACAGAGTTTGGCTGCGGTGTCTTCACTCCGCTCCAGCCTCTGTTACTCCTCTTTGCAGCTACGAGGAGGGCAGATTGTGTTGCCTAGGGAACTGTGGAGGAGCAGAGTCCATGCACACGAACCATCCTGGAAGTGGCAACTGTGTATCACCCCAGGCAAGCTTCTGTAATGCCAAAACTTCCGTTAGTCTTTCTCTAAGTTGCCCCTTTCAAGCAATTCTTCCACATTATCCACCCCGTGACTATAGTCACTCAAGCTTCACATGAAGTGTTGGGTCCGGAGAAAGAGGCAAACACCATCGATATATTGTGCTTTTTAATAATAGGAGAAAGATAATAAGTATTACCAGCTAGCTGGGGTCCGGGCTTTCCCACGCAGGGGTCACACCACGGACCCCGACCGCTTCGGTCGTCCCTCTTTTATACCGTTCTTACCCCAAAAATGTCCCCCCTCCCGTTTTCCTGTTCTGCTTTCATGTCAATGTTATCTATATTTTATTGCTGACTGGGACCTCTGGATAAGCAACCCCTCCATGGAGATCATCCTGACTTGCCATATATCAGGAGTCCTTGTAGATAGGCACCCCCTTCAGGCAGAACATCCTGCCCTGCCATATATCAGGAGTCCTTGCAGATAGGTAACCCCTCCATGCAGAGCCACCTGTCTTGCCAATTATCAAGAGTCCTTG